ACTTGCATTTTTATGCACATCTATCTTGCATTGTCATGCACCCTTTTTACTTGCGTTGTCACATACTTTCCACTTGCATTGTTATGCACGCTCTTTTATTCGGAAACACTGGGATACGTCCTTATGTTTTCTCTTCTCATTCTGAAACACTGGGATACGTCCCTATGTTTCTCATTCCTTCCGAAACACCGGGATACGTCCCCACGTTTCTTCTCTCTTTTCGAAACACCGGGATACGTCCCTATGTTTCCCTTCTTTCTAAAACACTGGGATACGTCCCTATGTTTCTCATTCCTTCCGAAACACCGGGATACGTCCCCACGTTTCTTCTCTCTTTTCGAAACACCGGGATACGTCCCTACGTTTCTTTTCCTTTCTGAAACACCAGGATACGTACCTACGTTTCTTCTCTCTTTTCGAAACACCGGGATACGTCCTTACGTTTCTTCTCTCTTTTCGAAACACCGGGATACGTCCCTACGTTTCTTTTCCTTTCTAAAACACCGAGATACGTCCCTACGTTTTTTCTCTCTTTTCGAAACACCGGGATACGTCCCTACGTTTCTTTTCTCTTCTTTCTGAAACACCGGGATACATCCCTATGTTTATTTTCTTTTCTGAAACACCGGGATACGTCCCTATGCTTCTCTCTCTTTTCGAAACACCGGGATACGTCCTTATGTTTCCCTTCTTTCTGAAACACCGGGATACGTCCCTATGTTTCTTTTCCTTTCCCGAAATACCGGGATACGTCCCCATGATTCTCATTCCTTCCGAAACACCGGGATACGTCCCCATGTTTCTCATTCCTTGCGAAACACTGGGATACGTCCCTACGTTTCTCTCTTCTTTTCGAAATACCGGGATACGTCCCTATGTTTCTTCTCCCTTCTTTCCAAAACACCAGGATACGTCCCTATGTTTCTTTTCCTTTCCCGAAATACTAGGATACGTCCCTATGTTTCTCCTTCTTTTTTCGAAATACCGGGATACGTCCCTATGTTTCTCATTAGTTTCGAAACACCGGGATATGTCCCTATGTTTCTCCCCTCTTGGTTAAGAGCATTTGGAATACGTTCCAATGCTCACACCATTCCGAAACACCGGGATACGTCCCTATGTTTCTCACTTAATCCGAAACACTGGGATACGTCTCTATGTTTCTCCCTCTTTGGTTAAGAGCATTCGGAATACGTTCCAGTGCTTGAACCACTCCGAAACACTGGGATACGTCCCTATGTTTCTTCTTCGTTTCAAAACGCCGAGATATGTCCCTATGTTTCTCCCTTTTTGGTTAAGAGCGTTTGGAATACGTTCCAATGCTTATACCTTTCCGAAACACTAGGATACGTCCCTATGTTTCTCCCTCTTTGGTTAAGAGCATTCGAAATACGTTCCAGTGCTTGAACCACTCCGAAACACTGGGATACGTCCCTATGTTTCTTCTTCGTTTCAAAATGCCGGGATATGTCCCTATGTTTCTCCCTTTTTGGTTAAGAGCATTTGGAATACGTTCCAATACTTATACCTTTCTGAAACACTGGGATACGTCCCTATGTTTCTTACATGATCATAAGTTATGCTCGGCTTTGTGCATTGTCTTGCATTTTGCCCCTGCCCTGCGGGCACAACCATTTATTTATTGGTAGCTTGTATGCTTTGTCTAAGTCTTCGGCCTTGTCAAAAATGGGTCGTCTCTGGGCTTTGACATTCACTCCTGTCATTTTTATGACTTTCGAGTTCTGTCAAAGAGGGGCAACTGTAGACACCCCATTTTTGACCGTCCTTAAGACTTGGACGTCATCGTTTGAACACTCGATGATTACCCTTGTTTGTGTTCGTCTTGAGTTCTCGGAGGTTTTGGCTACGCGCCTTACCTTAAGACCTCTCGACTTGTTTGTTTTGTGTATGGTTTTGCATCAAACACTTGTTGTTTTGCTTCAGAGGGTGGGAAATAGCTTGTAGGCCGTCCCCACACCTCATCGGCCATGGCTTGAGGCCACCGGCCTTCTTTCCTTGCCACCGGCCATTGGTGATGGCCGGTCAGCACTATTGATGGTTGGTCGGCATTGTGTTTGGTCGGCCGGCCACTGATTTTGGTCAATCGGCCACTTTTTCTGGCCGAGACCTTTTCTTGAGGGGGTTTGAACCTTTTGAACCCTTGGTTTTAGCTTCTTGAGGAAGCTTGAACCTTTTGAACCTTTATTCTAGCTTCTCCAAGAAGCTTGAACCCTTTGCTCCAAGCTTCTAGAAGCTTGACCCCATTTTAGCTTCTTGAAGAAGCTTGGCCCCTTTGCTCCAAGCTTCAGAGAGAGGCTTGGACCTTTCTTAGCTTCTTGAGGAAGCTTGACCCCTTTGCTCTAACATCCTCAAGAAGCTTGACCCTTTTTGCTTTAGCTTCTAAGAGAAGCTTGGCCCCTTTGCTCCAAGCTTCTCTTAGACGCTTGGACCATTCTTCCTCTATAAAAGAAGAGCTCCTCTTCCATTGCAAGAGTTAAAAAAAAAATGGTCTAAGGCACAAGAGTTGTATCTCTCTCTATCTCCATATTTTGAGCTCCAAAAGTGTTGGTTCTTGACCCCTTTGCACCACACCTCATAGCCACACACCTCCACCACTCATCTAAGGTCCTTGGAGGCCATTTTCAGAGGTTGAAGGTCTGATTTTTTGGTCCCAAAGCTGTTGGTTTTGCTGGAACTACAAGGGTAACACACTTTACCCTCTTTTGGTCTTTATTTTGCTTCATCTTTTAGCCATACTTAGAAGCATTTTTGAGCTTTATCATAAACTGAAAAAAGTCTTCTTTTGAGCTTCTTTTTAAGTTTGTTTAGATCACTTTTGTGTTTGGGGTTGTTTACCCCCCCTTAGGCCTTGTTTGGCCCCATTTTGTGCTATTTTTGGTGAGCTTCGGGACCACCTTGTTTGGGCCTCCTCACCACTGAAATCTTGAGGGATTTCAGTGGTGAGGATGGTGTCTTAAGGTCCTAAGAAGGAGAGGGCCACCCCCTCTCCTTATTGTCTTCAAAAAGTGCCATTTTAGCCTCATGTGTGAGCACCATTTTTAAGTTCATGTTGGCCATGTCTTAAATGCTATTTGTGCCTATTTTTCCATGATATAGCACTGTTTTTACTTGGTTTAGACACACCATGCTTGCTTTGCATACTTGTCTTGTAATGCCATGAAATTGCCTTAACATGTATCTAGCATTTAGACCACAATGCCTACTTGTTTTGGCTTTATGCATGTTTTAGTGTGCTTGAGGACTGTTTTTGGTTGTTTGGGTCATCCATGATTTGCTTCGTATAGCTACCATGTAATCCCTCTTGTAGGCCTTAAGTATCGGACCCTCTAGCATGCTATCCTTGCATCATTTCAGTGGCTTAGAACCACTTATAGCATCATTTCAGTCCTCATGGCATGCTTGTATGCTTGCATTTGATGTCCCTTTAATGCTTTATAAGGTTGTCATCTTATGCTCCATGTTTGGCCTCTTTTGTATGCTTGCATTATCAGAATGAATGAGATCAAAGGGCGCAAGAGAAACAGAATTACTTTTATTAAACGACAAAGCAGGTTGTTTTGCAAGTTGACAGGACACACAATTGAAAGCATCAGAACTTACAGTACCCAAATGACCACTAGAAATTAAAGACTTCAAACGACCAACAGAAAGATGGCCCAAACGATAGTGCCAAAGCTGAAAATGAGATAAAGGAGGAGCAGTGGTAGTAGTGGTAGGAGCAGTGATTTGAGAGGAATCCGGAACATGAAGATGGATAAGTTCGTAGAGACGTCCTTGCTTACGGCCTATCCCAAGAGTTTGCCTGGTCCGAGGGTCCTGCACCAAACAACCAGTATGGGAAAAGGTAACAGTTAGACCATGCTCACATAATTGACTAATGGAGATAAGATTTAAAGTGAGAGCAGGCATAAGATATACATGGGATAAAGATAAGTGAGAGGTGGAAACAGACCCAACATGACTTACAGACAGAAGAGACCCATCAGCAGTATGGATAGAAGGAACATGAGGAGTCGAAGAGAGAGGAGTAAAAATAGTAGGATCAAAGGTCATGTGATTACAACAAGCGGAGTCAAAGTACCAAGAAGAGTTACCTGCGGTGGCAGATAAAGCAGTAGATGGAGGAGTACCGGAATGCTGCCAAAAATGTTGAAACATGGCTTCAACATCGGTATGAGAGAAGACCGGAGTGGAAGGGTCTATAGGGACAGAAGAAGGTGAATCTTCGGAGGCGGCAGCAGCAGTGCGTGGAGCAGGCATGTTTTTAAATGGAGTCCCAGAACGGTGAGAGTTGCTGCGGGAAAAATTCCCGGTGGAATGACCATGGCGAGAGGCACGGGTAGGATTGCGGAAGCAATCTTGTTGGAGATGACCGGGGCCAGTCTTGTTGCAAAATCGACAAAGACGAACGGGACAATGAACCAGAAGATGAGTCGATGGAAGATTGCGGTTGTGACAATAGTTGCAGGTAGTGGACCGCTGTGGTGAAGGAGAACTCCGAATCTGGGGAGTAGCAAGAACAGAGTCCACAGCTCTTCTGTTGATCAACCTGCTGATATCTTCACCAAAGCTCATTCTCCTGGCCGCTTCGTTGCCCTTGTCTCCAAACTCAAGTTGGTTGATGTTTGTCCTCCTTGAGTTTGAGGGGGGATGTTAATACTATACCTATAATATGTTATAAGTTAATACTATATTAATCTGTATAGATCTACAGCTGCTAATAGTAGATAGTATATTTAATAGATTATATTAAATATCTGTATAGATAGTTGTTGCTAGCCTAGCACAGATAGACGCCTTCTTTTCCTTTTGCTTTCAGCTATCTTTCGGTGGCCTTTTATTTGTATATTTCCTTTGTTCATCATTTTGTCTTGTAAAACATCTCCTATATAATGGAGGTTCCATTTGGTTGCAATACACATCAAAAACATAGAGCTAATATTTGCTCTCTCAATCTCTCTCAATTTCTTATAATATGGATGAACCACTTATTGGTGCAAGTTGTGAACACTTCAATAAAGATTTTGAAAAATCCAGAAATGCTACATTTCATAGCTGTGGCCTGTGGTGAGACATGTGTCTGGTATTCATAACTGTTTTACACTACAAAACAGTCATTATGTATAACACAAAAGCATGAGGTTAACAAAATTATTCTTTTAGTGCAGGTCCCCTGGATATGCTTTACTTCCCCAAGCACAGAGGCCACTGGCAGACACTATTAACACGGACTCTAGTGGAGAACAATCTTCGACTAGTCAATCGCAACAGCATCCGATTGCAATCCCTGGTGGGCCTGCCAACTTGCCCTTTCCACACTCTGGTTTTGTCGATTTTCTTGCTCCTGGTACAGAGATTTGGCAGCAATCTAAATACACCAGACTCTCAATTAGAGGCCCAGGAAAAAATTCTTCAGAACCAGATTAAGGTATGGTACATTATGTGCTGATCTTGTATCATTTGCCCTCTATTACGAAATGATTCATCCTATATCTCTTTTATGTTTTTATCCTCTATTCGATTGCTTTGACATCATGATTTATTCCTAGAGTTTCCGTAATCACCGTTTGCTTAGCTCAGGATTTTATAACCTCCCTCTATATCACTAATCGATTACCTGTTACTCGTGAAAAAATGAATTGGTTACTTGTTCCCTGTATAATTTATTGGTGAGACATTTCCTATTTTTGTGCTGTGTTGGATAATAAATTCTGGGGTTTTCTGGTTTGTGAATGTATGTATAAAAGCATCTATGTTTCCATGCATTATACATATATATGGAGAGAGGGAGGGAGGGAGGTTTTCTATTTTTTATATGTGACATGTACCTATCACTTTCCTTTCTTCTTTTTATTTTTATTTTTTATATGTGACATGTACCTACCAACTTTTTCTTTGTTAGTGACAATGTGAAAACTGACAACTTGGAGTGAAAATATTTTGTGGCAACTGACGAGACTTGTTGAATATAAAATCTACAAATAAATTCAACTTGGTTTAAGATATGAATGAATTATTTTGCTGCCATAACAGTTGAACGAGGAAGTGGATATGTTTTCTCAAGAATATGAGTTGATGCATGGGCTTTTTTGTTTTTCCTCTAATTTTTCCCTTTACATGATTGTTTTACCTACTGAATTTTATTTAATTTATTATCTGATGAATTACTTCTTGGGAAAATGGTAGCCCAACTGTACCAGATCTGCCTTGCAAAACATTACTGTGTTATCTGCTTAAAGATGGACTCCATCATCGATGAGCCCTGCCCTGCACCACACTCTCCTGAAAGCCCACTGTAACAAGAAAGGATATAATGGTAACAAGAAAGGACATGATGGATTCTTGTCTCAGCTGTCAATTCACCTATAGCGTACCGTCAAAATATAAATCCAAATCCACTATCTCCACCTGTAGCCAAAGGCCATACTTTGCATCAAGCACAACAAGAATTCCCAATTCACACGATCATGTCTTTTCAATATCCAACTTACAGTGCCCTGTTTCGCCACTTCTCAATTTAGAGTCAACACATTTATTGACCACAGTAACTGTATTCAAGATTTGTCTACCTCAACAAAAGTATTCTGAGAATCTGAAACCACCACATTCAACACCTGTTTTCAATCTAGAAATCGACACCTTTGCCCACGACTTATATGCATGCAACGACAGCAACACCAAGCAAACTAATAGGCTGAAAATCATTGATGTCTTCCACACATCTTTTCTTTGGAATTAGAACTACAAATGACAAGGGGCTAGAGGCTGTGAATATAGGAAAAGACAAAGGGGTGGCGGAACAGCATTACCGTGTCTGCAAGTCATTTTGAGGTAGTTTAGAGCTCTGGAAATGTTGTACTTGAGTAACCTGCTCATTTAAAATTTTCAAGGTCTATAGCAAACAATGCCTCTTGTAAAGGACATTCTATGTAAGTGTGCATGTTTAGTATAGACTCACACACCCCTTCTGTGCTTTCATCTTTTATTTTCTTCCCTGTTTTCCTTTTTATAGTTGGCCATGACTCTGTAATATGCCATTTTCCTTCAAGCTATTTTTTGTGTCAAGAATATGCGGTATATTTGGAATATTAGTCTTTTTGGAGTTAGTCTTTTTTCTTTTTTTGTTCTTTGATCTTCTGGGTTTAATTTATATCCAAAATCTCTATTTTAAACTTTAGTTTCGCCATTGTATATGCTTTTTGAGTATTCAAATTACAATTTATATAGGGCCTAAACGTATGGAGAAAGAGAACAAACAGAGATCAATGAAGCTATGTCATCATCCTAAATTCTCTGCTTGTTGTATTAGAGTGTTTAGAAGGTGTCATTGAATTACAAGTGCTTGGAGTAATGGGATATGCTTGTGTGTTGTGTACATATGTTCTTTATTTTTTGGGGGGGAAATATTAAACCAATATCTCTATGAAGTGAAAAAGTTTTGTATACCAATACGGTACAAGTATCACTATCCTTCTATCACTCACAAATATATATGGCTCTAGTGTTCCCTAAACATTCAACAATATAGCCTATATTTCATTATTTTTTACCAATCATAATAATGGAAGGTATTATATAGACATATTCCATTCATATATAAAAATCACTCAAAGTGAACTATATGATGAGAGCGGTGTGCATGTTTCAAAGAGTCGTTAGTATATGATGAGAATAATGTGCATGTTCAACGAGACATTACAAGTGAGAGATACATCTTGGTAGTTCTAACAGACAAAAAGCAAATCTCTATTGCAAGTGTTTACTTTACCTACTATTTGTGCAGCAGATGCCTCTTGTGTACACATGCATATGAATGTTTACTGTTTCATTGTGAACTGTCTGTTTGACAGGAGAGACAAAAGGTAATTTATGAAGAACAGAAAAAGTTGGTTCAGCAACAGGCACAAATAAAATCCCAAATGGCTCGCTATGAGGATGAATTGGCAAGGAAGAGAATGCAGGTTTGTATACTTACATTTGATTCAGTTTATGCCAGAGGTTATTACAATGAAGGATGTAACTGTTCCTTGTATTTATCAGGCAGAAAATGAGCATCACAGAGCAAGAAATCAAGAGCTTGTAAAAATGCAAGAAGAATCAGCCATTAGGCAAGAGCAGGCCAGACGAGCAACTGAAGAACAGATTCAGGCGCAGCGTCGGCAAACAGAGAGGGAGAAAGCTGAGATTGAACGTGAAACAATAAGGGTAAAGGCTATGGCAGAAGCAGAAGGAAGAGCCCACGAAGCAAAGCTTGGTGAAGAGGTCAACAGACGCATGCTAGTGGAGCGCGCAAATGCAGAGAGGGAGAAATGGGTTGCTGCCATAAATACAGCTTTTGATCATATTGGAGGTATTTCATTTTAACATACATGGCTGCCTACTGCCTAGAACCAACATGATATGCATCTCCGGGGTCATCAACACAAACAAAACTCTAATGCCTGTTTTGGATATTAACCTGTGCATGCTCCTAGGTAATCTTCTTGATTTATGAGCTAAGCACATTTAAGATTGCTGAGTCATGATCAAACTGTGAAACTTGTGCCATAGCATATATCAGTTGGTTGTGGATTGGGGTCACTAAACAAAGGCTTGTGTACCATTTTAATTGGCATAGGCATTCCACTCTGTCAAGGGTTATATGTGCAGTTAAATTAAATAAATTTATTTATTGTTCTAGAACACCCCTTGTCAATGTAGGTATTCTCCTCCCCCAAGCATTTCCATTAATAGTGATCATACTTCTCTTCTGTACGATTGCATCTACTGATTTTCTTACCAAATCTTAATTTGTGTTCAATCGGTGCTACTCCTAACATTTCACAAATGTATTCATTTCTAATTTTATTTTTCTACTCTTGCCACACATTCATTTTAGCATTTATTTTATTTTGTTTCTTAGTTGTGTAATATTTTGTCTCATAAAGCATTTTTTCTTACAACGGTTCTATCAAATCATCCTATTATTTTTGTTGTTATCCAACAATCGCATAATATGCTTGAAGTACCCCTCCACATGAGCTAACCTAATATAATTTTATGGGTAATAAAACCACATTCTCCAACCTCTCCACACTAATCAAACCTAGATAATGAAATTGCTCACTCTTTGATATCTCTTGGTTTTCAATCTTTACATTGCCACTATAACAACATTGCTTGTAGAGTTGTGGAAGCTTGATGTAGCTAAACCTTTTGGCATGAGAATTGTTTCAGTTTTGATTAAATGAGAAATATATCAAATATTGGTATCTTTTTTCTTCTTCTTTTTCCCCCTTTTCTTTTGTTCCCTTTTTTCAGTCCATTGTTGATGACCCGCAACAGGGGGATGGCCCTCTCCCTGCCTATAGGTGGTCCTTGTCAGCTTCAATTTTCAGCGCTCACATTTTCTTTTCTTGTTGTGGTTATACTTTAGCATATCTAATCTTAGTGACTTCCCTGAGGTTCATATCCTCTTGCTTTGTTTCCTTTTGTGTGTTTGCATGTGCATATTTGTATAAATAAATGCATAAGTTTATTGGACACTGTTATGTTCTACAATTGATTCTTCAAATACATGAGAATATCAACTAATGACAAGAAACTTGACATTATACTGTGATTTAAATGATACTTTTGCTTTTCTTCTTCCTTGAATAACTTTTTACATACAGATGGGAAATAAATTAAAGCCGTTTTTAAAATTAATTTTCATCATAATTATGAATGGGTTGCAAATTATGATTTTTACTTCTTTAGCAGTATGTTTGCATTCTGTGCGTAGATATCTATTTTTTTATTCTTTATCACGTTGTTACCATGCCAACTGTTGTTGTTCTTAGTAAAGCCAAGATGTCCAGATTCAAGCAAATCTAGGGTGTGAAATTGATATAGTTGCTGACATATTCGGTTTAGTTACATGAAACAGACTTGGGAAGATTCTTTTGGTTGATAATTTGATCAAAAGAAATAAATTCTCTATTGAAATGCCCAAAAATTCTACTCTGTTGTGACTGCTTCATTTGGTTATTGATGTAAATTTGTGTTTAAAAGAGCTTTGCTTGATGGGGATTTATTTGTGTTTTGCAGGTGGTTTGCATGCCATATTAACTGATCAAAATAAGCTGGTTGTGGCTGTCGGTGGAGTGACAGCTCTTGCAGCAGGGATCTACACAACAAGGTATTGGAGTCTATAAGCAAAAAGAATGTTTTACATTTTTTTTTCCTGGCTGAATCCACTTGAGGAAGTGAAGTATCTCATGTACATTCGATATTAATTCCAGTTAATATTATTTAAATGTATTATCTTTCATGAACTCAAATGCAATGTCCTGCTACTAGAAGTATACTTGTCTTTGTCCTGAACGTAACAATCTTTGTGTTATTATTAAAATGAAATCAATGATAATGATGGTGGTGGTACTAAGATGATTTTTATTTCCCCGTGTCCATATTCAATGATATACTCATTCAAATTTGTCCTTTACAATGCAGAGAAGGTGCAAGAGTGCTTTGGAGCTATGTGGACAGAATATGAGGACAACCATCATTGATCAGAGAGTCCTCCAGAGGGAAATACCCTTGGTCAGGATTGTTTTCTCGTGGTATGAGCACTCTATCACATAAAACTGATAAAGTCTCTTCCTTCAAAACTGGGAATGGCTTTGGTGATGTTATCTTAAACCCTTCTCTTCAAAAACGAATTCAGCAGCTAGCTCGTGCAACTGCGAATACAAAATCCCATCAAGCACCATTTCGGAACATGCTCTTCTATGGTCCTACTGGAACAGGGAAAACAATGGCTGCTAGAGAGATGGCAGACAAATCTGTATCTGCTCTCTCTCTCGCAAACTTTAATTGGTGTAAATGTTCTCTGTTAATTGCATGATATATGCTTTCAGGGGCTAGATTATGCATTAATGACTAGTGGAGACGTTGCGCCACTGGGTCCACAGGCTGTTACCAAGATACACCGATTGTTTGATTGGGCCAAGAAGTCAAATAAAGGTTTATTGCTTTTCATTGATGAAGCGGATGCATTTTTGTGCGAGTAAGTGATGTTTGCATTTCGAATAATGTTCCATGTAGAGGTGTGATAGAAATATAGGCCTTGTTTGATTTGTGTTTTGAGATATTATTTCAAAAATAATTTTCTTGAGAGAGTTTAGAAAATTTAAAAATTTGTTTGGCTGTAGATTTTGAAAACAGTTTTTGAGTTTTGGAGTTCGGGATTATTTGATATTTTTTTGTAGTTGAATAGACGGGTGTGAGAAAAAGTGATTGAGAATGATAGAGGAGAGAGAAAAAGTGATTGATTGATGTATAGTAGAGAGAAAAGTGATTTTGGAATTTTTTTTCTACAAATTTTCAACCTAACGGAGTTTTACTGGGCATAATACGGTCAAAAGCAAAAGCTGTTTGATTATCCTTGGCATAATATAGTTTTCCTTGGAAATTTATTTGTTATCTATCCACTTCGTAAAATGATGCCTAATTTGGTTTTGGACTTGATCATACTTTTATGTGATATTCTGGACATCAGCATTTTCCAATTTGATTTTTATGACAAAACCTAACTATGAGCATACGGTTTCTTAACCAAAATTTTCAGGCGAAATAAAACCTACATGAGTGAAGCTCAAAGGAGTGCACTCAATGCCCTCCTTTTCCGTACTGGTGACCAGTCCAAGGATATAGTCCTTGCTCTAGCTACAAACCGCCCTGGCGATCTTGATTCAGCAGTGGCAGATCGTATTGATGAAGTCCTTGAGTTCCCTTTGCCTGGTGAGGGCGAACGATTCAAGCTGCTGAAACTCTATTTGAACAAGTACATAGGTCAGGCGGGGGCAAGAAAACCAGGCTTATTTTCCAATCTGTTCCGGAAACAACAGCAGAAGATAGAGATAAAGGGCTTGACCGATGATATTCTGAAGGAAGCTGCAGCTAAGACTGAAGGATTCTCAGGAAGAGAAATAGCAAAGCTGATGGCAAGTGTTCAAGCTGCTGTTTATGGGAGCGAGAACTGTGTGCTCGATCCAAACTTGTTCCGTGAAGTAGTAGATTACAAAGTTGCAGAGCATCAACAAAGAAAGAAACTGGCTGCTGCTGACGAAAAGTAGTTCCTGATGGGAGTGTTTTTAAACGCTAGCATACAAAATTGTCTTTTGCTAATTGGGTAAGAATGAGTTGGTATCTGCTTATTTTGTCAGTCTTGGGTCATTTTTATTTTTTGGTTAACTTCTTGTCATCATTATTTGCCCCATCTACTGGGGAGTTTTGGTATGTCAACCATAGTTTACATTCAATCTTTCTGTTGACTATTCATAAGTTATATATTATACATTTGCGGTGCCACTTGCCCCTATTGGCACCCTATTGTTCTTAACTCGTTGGGGTTCTCCCATTGAGCTAACTTTTTTTATGAATGGAGACTTCACCACACAGATTTGGGATTCCCTGTTGTTCTTCACTTGTTGGGGTTCTCCCATTGAGCTAATTTTTTTTATGAATGGAGTTTTCACCACACACAGATTTGGGATTCTATACATGTACAATGAGTGCTTGTGCACACATGTTGGCTTGTCTGGTGATATAATTTATCATAGTTCAAGTTCATTACAATTTGGAACCTCGTAACCAAAGGTGTTGACTGATTTGGCTGTTTGTAAGGTTTCAGGTTTCTCTATTCCAAAAGTTCATGGTAATTTGACTTCTTTTTTTTTACTTTTTTTTTGGTGATAATTTTCATGGTAACTTGACTAATGATAAAAGCAGAATCTTGTGTGACAAAATGTGTGTTGATTCAGGTTGTCTTCTGGTAATGTTAATTCCATTCCCATGACACTTGTGTGGGGTCATTAGAAAACAAATTACAATATATAAATAAACTGTTATGGAAGAATTTCTGACCTCATGACATTGCTCAAAATGCAAACGTCACAGCAAGCAAAGGTAATCAATCACACAATTCCTTGTAGATAAAGCATAACAAAGGTAGTTTGATGTAAATTTAGATCCGGAAAACAATAAGAATAGTCATACCAAATTCTTATTCTGCTGACAACAAAAGCATGCAAGCATTATAGGTACAAAGATTTATTGAAACTACAGTGTAAAACACAATGTGAAGAAATTTCAACATTAACCTTGTGATTATCCCCCACAAGCCCGTCATGGCTGATTATCCTTGCAGAATTTATTTTCAGACTCATTAGTGGTGATGGTGGCCATGGTCTTGAACATAGCGTAAACCACAATACTTGCAGATAGCTGGCTCATCCTTATCAAGGCAAATAAACTCAATTGGATGCCCAAGCGCAGGATTGCTGTCTGCAACCAGAAATTAGCATGAACTGAGGAGACATTTTCATAAATACAAAAATAAAAACCCCAGACAAAAATGACTCGGTTATTCATATAATCCACCCGGTTACTTTTTTACCAGAACTATTACAAAAGAGAGTTCACACTCAGAAAATAAACTAACCTCCTTCGCAAGCAACAATTCTGGCCTCAACCTTGATGGGTGGAACTTCATTGATCAACTCCATGGGAGATTTCTTGCTTGTATCCTGTCAACAATTATAAAGAAAACATGTATATATTCTGGCAATAACGTATGATTGTCTCAAAAACAAAAATATCCAAAGTGAGAGAAAAAGAAAATAAAAATTAAAGAGAGAGAGAGAGAGAGGTATTGCAACCAAAACAAAAACAAAATAAAATTCAACTAGCTTGAGAAGTCAAGAATGCAAGGTTCTAACTTGCAAGAAAAGCAAATGACAGTACCTCATTCAATGTTTCACCATGGTGTGGGGCATATGCCTCCCTGTAAGAAACAGCTTTTCTCTGGCGTTTTCCTCTACCAAGAGCTGCTTCCTCCTCATTCTGATATTTCTCCCACCTACAGGATCCAATAAAAAAACACAAGACAATGTAAGAGAAATTTTAACACATCACTTCACCAGTTACAGAATTCAAGTTTCCCTCCTATGAAGTATGCTTTGTGAATCCATGAGTGTCTGAAATTAATTATGTTTCCCAAGTAGCTGCCTTCGGTAAGTAATCAAGGGTATTCTTCCCACTCATTTATTGTACCATATAACCTTCAAAGGAAGATTGGATAGCCAAATTCTACCATTGTTGCTTTATGTATTCTTGCAGTTCCCATTCTTGAGAACAACTTTCTGAGATTCTTTCAGTATTTCTCATATAACGAAATAGAAGAGAAAATCCCTTGTACAAGCATGCAATACATGCACTTTAACAAGCCCAAGCTGCGTTAAAGATTATATCTTATTAAATGTAATGCTTGTCTCTCTAAATTCAATATAGAATATGGCTACCCAAGCAAATGCTGCAAAAGTTAAAACCAATGAAACGCAGTTAATGTTTAAAGTAGTTTTTCTGCTGCCATCAAGTTACCCACTAGCACACTCACAATAATCAATGCATCACAGTAATTCGCGGTATTATTTTTTTATGTTCCTCTAAAATGTCCAAAGTAGACTCTCCATTGGAAAATATAAGCACCACCTAATCTAGCATTCCTTTTGCACAGACTATCAGAAATCACAGGATTCTCATTCAGAAAAATGTCCCTTGATATGTTACGGTCAAAAATGGGGTGTCTACATTGTGCAAGACACTTCTGAAAAGATTAAAATCATCCAACAAAGGCTTAAGACAGCACAAAGCTAGCAAAAGAATTATGCGGATGTTCGAAGAAGACCACTTGAGTATGAGGTTGGCAATCATGTATTTATCCGTGTGATTCTAATGAAGGGCCAGTCGAGATTTCGTAAGAAAGGTAAATTATCACCCCGTTACATTGGGTCGTTTCAAATTCTGGAAAGTCTTGGTCTAGTTGCTTATAGAGTTGTTTTGCCATCGAGATTCGAACAAATGCATAATGTATTCCATGTTTCGATGCTGAGGGGTCATCTCTGAGATCCATTTCATGTGATAGACTACCACCGGATATGTCACGCCTCAAAATTTGGACAGTTAAATATTAAATTAGGACTAAACCCCAATCAATATTCCACCATCCAAATCCTAGGGGTGAAACAAAATCTAAACGTTCTCGTCTCCAAAAGGTTTAAGTAAATTTCTATGCTCAAAAGATAATAAGGGATAAAAAAAAAATTAATAAACGCCAACCAAACTATTCATCATAGATTCATAACTATCCAATACATCCAACATTAAAGTAGCAACAACTAGTCAAAACAACTTAAATAATGTAACGTTGAAAAACAACCCACAATGCCAAATTGTCAAAAATACTAAGGTCATAAAATAAAAAAAATATATATATATAAATTAATATCAACCCTAAGCTCAAGAAAACCAAAATAGTCCAAAAGACATGTCCTACGATCATAGTTATTTCTTGTCACCACCATAGCCCCAACTAATCCTGCAAAGGAAGCTCGGCTGCACTCAAATAGAACGCACTCGAAATGTCAAGAGACAAAACAGCTCAGTATACAAGTATATTGGTATGAGTGCAATTATTTGACACCCACGTGTCCACCAAACACAAATAAAAATACATCTAATTCCTGTTACGGGACAAGACAAGTAGTTCCACCCACACCGAGACGAAGGGGTAGTTTCCCGAGGTACGGTGGCATTTAGTTTCTTGCCCGTATACAACTAAATATAAATTGAGTATAAAATAAATAAAATAAACATAAAAATATGGTGGGTCAGCCCTGCATAAAAAGTTAGTAAGACCTACCATTCTGCAAAAAAAATAAAGTTAGTATAATTTAATTATAAGTAGTTAGCTGAAGAAGTATAAAGATGCACCGTTTTATGCTTAAATAATTTGAATTAACAAAAACTCAAAGAATAAAAGTTGTACAGAATCAAATTTCCTAAAATTTAATGCGAACGAATTAAGTAGAAACTGAACAGGTTGAGAGAAAAACTTGATAGAATAACCTAGACGTAATTCCACCGAAAAATCTAAAGCTGAAAATGAAAAGAAACTGCCCTAAGATGATTTTTTTTTTTGGAAAAGTTCAAAACAAGAAAAGTGTGCAAAATAATATTTTACTTCAATTTACGCAAAACCAATAAAAATGAGCTTGTTTTGGGGATTAAAACAGCATCTAAAGTTTGCACTGCTAAAATGAATAAAAACTATTGTAACCAGGATCATCCGATTACAAGTTCTAATCAATCTTTTTAATAAAAAGTTGAAACACAAAAGTTGTTTAGAATCACGTATACATGCCTTTGCTCAAATTTCATAATTTATCGAGGTCGTTTACTATTTTTCAAGATGTACAAATCAATACAATTCACACTATAACTCTTTGTACCTTAACTCCACCACTTTGGCCCTTCACTTCCGGCCTACACATATATCTCATGTGCCTCCCGTATACCTAACACCGCTCCGAAGTCAAACTTGTACGGGGATATTGTCCCGAGTTTGACCCACACTCCCTAGATGGTTAGCATATACGTACTCACGTAAATCAAAGCACTCGTCTACTCATGAAAACAAGGCAACAATATATATTTATACACAATCTGTCATCTACTCATGAGAACAAACATAACAATGCTAAGCTTAAGGTATTTAAATAAATCTCATAATCCTCACTTTTTTTTTTATACCCTCTTCTCACCTACACATCAAATAAAACAACAATCCATAGATCATGGTGGAGGATAACGAATTTATCTGTGGGTTCTAAGTTTATTTTAATTTCATATATCCATGAGTGTGATTACAACCATAAAATAAATACATATAAAAATCCTAAACCTCACATACGCAACTAATCAAAATAATTAAAATCAATCTATCATCTTCATGTAAATACAAAATCAAACTAACATCAAATAAATAAATAAAAACAACGAATTAAATATAAATCAAGGGAAGTGGGTTTTATACTCACAATATTTTTTGAAGATCAAAGAATTACTTAGAGAATTAATGGAGCCACCAAAATAAAACCCTAACCCTTTTTCTCCCTTTTTCTCCACCTTCTTCTGCCATCTCTCTCTTACATACACACCCAGCCGCACACAGAGCACTCTTTTTTTTATTTGATTACTCTCTCTCTCTCTCTCTCTCTCCTTCCTTTTCCTCTCTCTCTCTCTCTCGGCTGCTTTGTTTTTCTTGGAAAACTTCACACACACTTTATGATTATAATAACCTAGGTTTAATATATGACAACCTATTAACATTATATTATATTTATATTATAAAAATACAATATAAATACAATATATATAAATATGATATATATTTTATCAATATATAAACACTTTTTTTTTTACAATATAAATATATCAATATTCAGATTAATTACCCATAATTAAATAACACATTAAATTAATTAAATACCACATTAAATTCTCATGGATCTACATAATTAATAAAGCCAAATATAAAATAAAGTAATAATAAATAAATAATGACCTACGAAAAATTAGGGTTGCTACAGGATAGCACTTGATGAACATATGAAATACAAAGAATGGCCAGAACGGATCATTGATCGGCAAATGAAGCAATTGAGAAACAAATCCATCTCAATGGTGAAGGTAGAATGGAAAGAACACTATGGGAAAGATGCTACATAGGAAAAGGAGGATGAGATGCGACTACGCTGTCCATACTTGTTTTCAGATAGAGGTAAAACAAGTTTGGAGGACCAAACATCCTAAAGGGGGAAGATTGTGATAACCCTGTTCTATATTGTCTTAATTAATCATGATTGTGTTTGTGATTATGTGCTTAATTTAATTTGGGTGCTAATTATGTGAGAGTTTGTATTTTTGAAGTCATATCTGTTCACCATAGGAAAACCTATCCAATTTACTGCTATAATTTGAAAATTGAAGGCCGTAGAGGCGGTAGAAATTGAAATTGACGGTACCATTGTGATTAGTATAATTTTTAGAGCCTATGGTGAAATTTGATTAAAAACTAATTCGTATCAAAATAATTAGATTAAATTGGTTAAATTAAGCATAATTAATTGGCCTTAATCAAGTTTGGTTAGGCAAGCATATATACGGATCTATTTACACTTATGCTCATTCCTTTTGAGCTCATTTTTCATAACTTGGCTGAAATAACACTCTAGAGAGAGAGGAAGAGGAAATTGTAGAATTGTGTCAAGACCTAAAGACTTGGAAGGCTAGGCTCAAGAATTAGCCATAATTTGAAGAGCTAAAGCTTCTAGGTGAGTAATTGAACTCAAATTCATGAGTTTAAGTTCATACCTAAGTGAATTCAAAGATGTTATGTGGCCAAGGGCAAGATTTAAATTGAATATGATGAATTTGAAGTTAATATGAACATGCATGTAAGAAATTGTCATGATTTTGCATGGTTGAGCCTAAAACATATAACCCATGTTGAATTGAGGGTTATTTGATACATACATGCATGATTTTGTTGAGTCTCATGAGTTTGAGCATTAATTGTGCCATTTGAGATGAAAAGAGGAGCATCATTACACATGCATGCACAATCCAAGGAGATATAGAATTTGTTTGCATGGGTTTTGAAGTTATAGAATTGAAATTGAAATGATTTGAGTTTATGTGATGAATTTATGGGAATTTGAGCTTCAATCTTGTAAAAATTGACATTTATATCATGATAGAAGTTGTATGGTTGACATATAGGCCACAATATGCAAATTACACCATGTAGAGTTGTGTTTTGAAGCTTAAAATGTATGCTAGAAATTTCAGAATTCGGCTTATCCGTTCAAGCGAAAAAAGTCTTGCTCGAGTATAAAAATCAAGCTCCCAAAAGTTTTACAGAGAATCGCACGGTAGCTCGAGCGGCAAACATTGCGCTCGAGCGAACGCTGTTTTGCAAGACTCATCACTTGAACAGAAATCTCGCTCAAACGTAAAAATCATGCAACCATTACTTTTACAGAGTTTTGTGGACTACTCGAGCTTCCAAAGCTATGCTCGAGCAAAGTGCCCTGTTTCAGAAATTTTAAAATGTCACTTCATGTTCCGTTTTCCATTCTCTTTCATTTCTAAGCACTCTTAGGCGTACATTGAGCTTTGTAAATGAACTAAAGGAATAAGAAATAGGCCTAAGAGAAATAAACAAGTTAAGAACGGATTGAATTACTTGTGACCCGATGTGTTATGAAATGTGTAGGGTCAAGCACGAGGACAAATCCATCGATGGAACACTGCGAGTAATATCT